GGCCCCCGGGGCCGCCCCGGGGGGGGGGGCGGGGTCGTGAGTGACCCTGGGTCACAGCCGGGGTCACCTGTGGGGTCACAGGTCACCAGGGGTCACCAGGGTCCCCTGTGGGGTCGCAGGTTGCCGGGGTCACCCAGGGTCACCTTGGAGTCGCAGGTCACAGGGGGTCACCCCGGGGTCACCCGTGGGGTCGCAGGTCACCAGGCAGCAGCCCCGGGCTCGGAGCTTGTTAGGGGTCAACCCGGGGGTCACAGGTCACCCAGGGTCACCCGCGGGGTCACAAGTCACCAGGGGTCACCCCCAGGGTCACAGGTCACCGCAGGGTCACGGCAGCCAGGTCAGAGGTCGCTGGGAGGTCGCCAGAGTCGGAGGTCACCGGGGGGCAGAGGCTGGAGGTCGGGGGCCCAGGTCGGAGGTCAGAGGCCACGGGTTGGAGGTTGGAGGTCAGAGGTTGGAGGTCCAGGTTGGAGGTCATGGGTTGGAGGTCGGAGGCCCAGGTTGGAGGTCGGAGGTCGAAGGTCACGGGCTGGAGGTCAGAGGCCCAGGTTGGAGGTCAGAGGTCATGGGTTGGAGGTCAGAGGCCCAGGGTGGAGGTCGGAGGTCGGGGTCACAGGTCGGTGGTTGGAGGTCACGGTCGGAGGTCGGAGGCCGAGGTTGGAGGTCAGAAGTCACGGGTTGGAGGTCAGAGGCCCAGGTTGGAGGTCGCAGGTCACAGGTCGGTGGTTGGAGGCCATGGTCGGAGGTCGGAGGTCAGGGTCGGAGGTTGGAGGCCCAGGTTGGAGGTCAGAGGTCACGGGTTGGAGGTCAGAGGCCCAGGTTGGAGGTCGCAGGTCACAGGTCGGTGGTTGGAGGCCATGGTCGGAGGTCGGAGGTCAGGGTCGGAGGTTGGAGGCCCAGGTTGGAGGTTGGAGGTCAGGGTCAGAGGTCGGAGGCCCAGGTTGGAGGTCGGAGGTCGGCGGCCGAGGTCGGGGGTCAGAGGTCGGGGGTCAGTCCCGGCGCAGGTTCTTGAGCCGCTCCTCCAGGTCGGCGTCGGCGTC